GAAAGTCTGTGAGACTCTTATCTCCAATTAGCTACCTGAAAAGCAGGAAGTGGAGCCATATGACTCAAGTAGTAGAGTGCTAGTCTTGAGCTAGCACTGGAGATTGTGCCCAGGCTCTGAGTTCAAGCCCCAGGACTGGCACAAAAAAAGAAAGAAAAAGAATGATACAAACTTCCAGGAGTCAGTGGTTCATTCTTAGACTGAGATCTGAAGATCATGGTTTAAAGCCAGTCCAAGCAGTAAAGGTCCTGAGACTCTTTTTTTTTTTTTTGGGTCCGGTTGTGGGGCCTGAACTCTGGGCCTGGGCGCTGTTCCTCAGCTCTTAAGCTCAAGGCTAGTGCTCTACCACTTGAGCCACAGCGCCACTTCCGGGCTTTTTTTCTTTTTGCTTATGTGGTGCTGAGGAATCAAACCCAGGACCTCAGGCATGCAAGGCAAGCACTCTACCAGTAAGCCACCTTCCCAGCCCCGGCCCTGAGACTCTTAATTGCAATTAAGCAGGCAGTAGAGCTGTGGCTCAAGTGGTAGAGCATTGGCCTTGAGTGAAAAAAAGCTAAGGCTCTGAGTTCAAGCCTCAGCACTGTCTCTCTCTCTCTCTCTCTCTCTCTCTCTCTCACACACACACACACACACACACATCAAATAGTATAACTGAGAGATGATAAAAAAGCCAATATTAGTCACCACAAAGCTGGTTTGGGTCTTAGGTTATGGTCTCTTAATCTATATGCCTGAAGTTAGAAACTTTTATTATAGTACAGGAATTTTTTTGTGGCCAAAACTTTACACAAAATAATACATGCAATATGTTGAATTTGGAGGTGCATAAGAAAAATGATCATTCACGCTGCACTGCCCCCAGGGGAAGAAATCTGGAACAGTGCCAACAGTGCAGATGCATTTATTCTTGCAACAGAACATTTGTTGGACTCTATCATACAGGTAGACTTGCACACATACAAAATGAGAAGTGTACAGACTAGATATTGAAATAGCAAAAGGTTGGAAACAGGCAATGTCCATCTTTAGGGTACTGGCAATGGACGGAAAGCAGCCACACAGTGTAACACTTTGCTCTACAAAGAGAATGAGAAAGAACACTAAGTACTGATATGAAAAGATTCCCCCAGATACATAGTTAAATTGAATAGTAAGTAACAAAATTTAAAAAAAAAACAACATATAGAATGGTAGCTTGGTAAGAGAGAGTTATAGATTGCCAAAAAAGATATGGTGAAATCCTAACTTCTTACATGTAACCATGGCCCTATTTGGAAATAGTCTTTGCAGACGTAATCAAGTTAAGATGAGGTCATCAGGGTGGGACCAAATCCAATGTGACCTGGTCATTAGAAGAAGATGAGACGCCTTGTGAAATTGGAGACACACAGGGAGAACACTGTGCAATGACAGAGACAGAGACTGGGCTGATGCAGCTGTCAGCTAGGGAATGCCGAGGATTGACAGCAGCCAGAAGCTAAGAAGCAGCAAGAATTCCTCCCAGAGTCTCAGATGGAACATAGTGCTAGTGACACTTGGATTGCAGACTTGTAGTCTCCAGAACTGTGAGGGACAGTTTTAAAGACAGGGCTTCCCTAGGCAGCCCTGGCTGGTCACAGACTTAGAGATTGTTTTGCCTTTGCTTCCCAGTGCTGGAATTCAAAGCACACAATATCACACCTGACTATTTCTGTTGTTTGAAATCATCCAATGTGATGTGTCAGTTTTAGGAAACAGATGCAGGAGAATAAGAAATAACACATACTCACATTTTTATCTTTATTTTTTGTCGGTTTTTGGGCTTGAACTCTGGGCCTGGGCACTGTCCCTCAGCTCTTCAGCTCAAGGCCAACCCTCTACCACTTGAGCCTCAGTGCCATTTCCAGTTTTCTGGTGGTTAATTGGAGATAAGAATTTCACCAACATGGGCTAGGAAGGTAGCTCAGTGGTAGAGCGCTTGCCTTGCATGCCTGAGGCCCTGGGTTCGATTCCTCAGCACCACATAAGCAAAAAGAAAAAAGCCG